CTCCCGTCCCACCGCGCCGGGCTGAGAGCCAGCACGGGCCTGGGTCCACAGCCTCGCAGCGCCGTCAGCCACCCCCCGTCTGGGCTGAGGCATGCGAGGAACGGCCAGGAGAAGAGAGGTTCATAAATACTTTATTGATTACCAAAAGAAGCTCCCAAAGCTGATTAAAAAGCGCAGAAGCGTTGATGTTTGCCTCTTAGTATGGAAAATATAATCATATGCCCTAATGTCCCTGCTGTGAGAGGTACAGGGCTATCTTATAAAAATATTGCTTCCTCCTTTACCCTAAATAAGCTGTCATTAAATACTAAAAATAAACAACATAGTCAAAGTGAGTGTGCAGGGAATGCCAAGACCTTACTGCACATGCCCCAGCAGACATCAAATCCCACCTGCAAGATTTGCTCTGGGGCAGATGACTCCATGAGTTACGGCTTTGAGCTCCAAAGTTTCCTCCCAAGGCAAGCAAGGGGGATCCATTCAGAGATGGCTGGAAGGGCATTGTCTATATCCATCTATCCCTGTGGCATGTACTGCTCACCCCCTGACACAGCCTCACCCATACCTGTGCTCTGCAGGGGGACTACCACAAAAACACTGAGGAAGGAAACCCAGGAGGGAGAGGAGAGGACATATGTCTGCAACACTTGACATCCAAACCCAGGACCCTGTGCTGAGGATGAGCCAAAGGGCTGCATCACAGTGTGCCCAGTGGGAATCCACTGGGATCTCCCCAGCACACAGTGGGCACAGCACTGCATGGCATTTCACCAAGGCACTGCAGCACCCACTTCTGCAAAACAGTGTGATAACATCTAAGAAGGATGACAAGAATACTAATCTGGGTTTTTCCTTTGTAGCAAAAACAGGTCCAGTCCCATCCCTGTCCCTCCTCCTGCACAGCTGCTGGCATGGACAACCACCATCTGGCCAGTGCTTCCCAGAGCAGCCACCCCACGGGCACTCAGGCTCCTGGGAAAGGCACAAGGTACAGCCCCACATTGCTTCTCCCTCCATCCTGAGCATGACTTCCTCCAGCCCAGCCACACTGGGAATGCTGTGGCTCCTGGGCCAGGCTGGCAGGGGAAGTGCATGGAGCCAGGGCGCGGGTGGGACAGGGAAGAGTGGGATGTGTGGTCATTGCCATGGGCAGTGTCTGTCCCAAGCGTCCTGTGCTATGGCTGCTGCTGGTACTGACCCTCTGTTGCAGTAAAGAAATCCTCCAAAACACTTTGTGTGTACTCAAAGGTTGGACGATCCTCTGGTTTGATCTTCCAGCACCTCATCATAACCTCGTACAGCTCCTCGGGGCAGTTATCTGTGCGCGGCATCCGGTACCCATGTTCCAGCGCCCTGATCACCTCCACACTTGACATCCCTGGGGAAACATGGTGAGACAAGGGAGTATCACCTGGTTTGTCACTGAGTTATTTAAAAGGCATAAAATCCCCAAACTGCTCACCCATTGGGCAGGAAGAAAGAGGAGTGATTAGAGGGGCTGGGAAATTGCTGCTCTGGGTCAGGGAAACATGGACAACTGAGATACTGGGTTAATTGCAGCATGGACTTTGTACCCCAGACCAGATGGGGTTTATAGTCACTTTGTATAAGTTTCAAAAATAACAAAGTCTGCACATCTCCATGTGCTGAGTCTGTAAGGAGCCATTGCTTCCAATGGAAACAGGTCAGTGTGGGGACACAGCTGCACCTCAGAACAGCCATTTGTGCCACCCCAGATCCTTCATGGTCTGTTTGTGGCAGCATTTAGAGAGTCATTTCCCACTGAAAAAACATACCAAAATAACCATTAGTATAAAATACAGTGTGGTCCCCAATGATAAGGAATTACAAGAGTTTCCTGTGGTGCTGGATGAGGCCCAGAAGGTGGAGTGTGTCTTTTGGAACCACATTAGAGGAGGCATTTCACCTTCTTACCTGGATAGGGGATACGTCCGTAGGTAATGATCTCAGTCAGGAGAATCCCAAAGGACCAGACATCGGATTTTATAGTGAAAGATCCGTAGTTGATGGCTTCTGGTGCAGTCCATTTAATGGGAAACTTGGCACCTGGACAAAGAGATCCAATGGAAAACATGAGCTCAAACCCAAATGATGAGAAATAGGTGGTGAAATATTGGGAACAAGAAACAAACAGAAGATGAAGAAGTGAAGCAATGCAAATGAGAGAAGCTTCCCTCTGACCACATACCCAGCACGTCAGTACCACCACATTGGTAAGTGACTCTCAGAGAACCCCAAACCCTTTAACCCCCCAGCAGCTCCCACACCTTCCCGGGCCGTGTACTCGCTGTCCTCGATGACTCTGGCCAGCCCAAAGTCTGCAATCTTGCACACCAGCTCTGCTGACACTAGGATGTTGGCAGCTCTCAGGTCTCTGTGGATGTAGTTCCTCTTCTCAATATAAGCCATTCCTTCTGCAATCTGCCACAGTGGGGGTGAGGAGAATGTAAAGAGGCTGCTTGAAATAAAACACACCCTCAGCACCGAAAAGTCAACTTCTGGACAGCACTCAGAAAGGGCTGACAGGAGGCTGAGCCACAGCAGGAGATGGATGTCCCATCCCTGGAAGTGTTCAAGGCCAGGATGGATGAGATTCTGAGCAACCTGGTCTAGTGGAAGGTGTTCCTGCCCATGGCAGGGATTTGGAATGACACAAACTGTAAGGTTCCTTCCAACCTAAACTATTATGTGGTTCTGTGGAACCAACTCCTGCATGAGAACTGCACTCTGAGCAGGCAACCCCAGCTGAGAGAGGCTGAGGGAGGCTGAGGTTTGGGTGACCAGCCCCAACATGACACCTGCAAGCTACTGTGTGAGAAAGGCCATGAGAACTGACACCCAAAGATTTCATGTAGTCATGAGCAAGTGTTTATGAGTGTCTGCAGAGCAAGGCATAATGACTTCACCCACAGCCATGCAGACCCGGAGAGGAGCATATATCATCCTCTGCTCAGGGAAGATATGAGTCCAGTCTCCAAACACATCCACAAGAGCTCTAGAGAACCAGGGAGTGAACTGGTGAACTGTCCCTTCTACACGAAGGGAACAATGAACAGACTGCCATTGCTGCACCAAGGGTCTGTATTGCACAAGGGAGGGTGGGGAAATGCCTGGGGTTTTCCAGACTAGTTTATGAAGAGTTAGCCCTGCCTGGGGACAGGATGGCTGTGATGGTCCTTGACAATCTCTCTCAATTCTATCTGCTGAAGTCTCTGCACTCAGTGGCTTTGTGCAGCTATCAGCCTGCAGAGATGACCTGGTGTGTGCACAACCAACCCCTAAAATTGTGCCAAGTTACCCCATGCATGGATGCAACCAGCATCCAGAAGGTGAAGGGGCTGGAGCAGCCAGAGGGGAGACACCCTCCCCATCCCTATCACACCCACACAAGCTGGCCCAGGGTGAGGTAAAGCTCTCACAGAGCTCTCCCCACAAAATACAGAAGTAAACAGGCACCAAAAGAGCGGAAGAATCATTTCCATGACCACAGACGCAGGTTCTGCCTGCAGTGACTCAGCCCCAGCACAAGCGCCAGGCTGCTGCCTGCTGCCTGCCTCCTGCTCATGACAGCACTTCAGCCTTTGCTCCTCAGTGCTTCTCCGAGCAGCCCCTCAGAGCCACGGGCCGAGCTGGGGGTTGGCATGAGCCAGCTTGCTGGGAGCAGATGGTGTGCAGGAGTGCACAGCTGATCACAGACCCTGGCACAGCCAGCTCCAGCAACCAAGGGACCTGGTCTAAGCCCCCAGAGTCTGGGCTCCCATCCTGGCTTTCCTGTTGCTCAGGTGCCTCTATGAAATATTGCATGGAGGTACTGAGCTCAGCTCAAAGGGTCTTTGGATTCAGCCAGCACCTGGGAGCACTGCAGAAGCAGCAGGGACACAGTGGTTTTATGTATGGTTGCACACATAGAGTGTATAACAGCACATCCCATTGTACTCAAAATCAGTTGCTGAAAATATCCCTGAAATAATGATCACTGAGCCTTCCTGCCTCTCCAGCTGCCTCATCCTGCCTGCAGCAGTCCTTCGGTGACTTTTGTGAACCACAACCCTCCCGTAAGCATTCCTGTGGGGCAACACAGCCCACTGTGCTCCCTCACAGAGACCAGGAACTGTGCCTGGCTCAGCCTCCCAGGCACTGGGTGCATACAGGATCATGCTGCAGGATTCCTGTTAAACCCATGAGGCTTCACACTGCTGCAGCTGAGCTGGGTCCTGCCCAAGGCACAGGCAAGCTGGGGTAAAGTGCTGCCCTGGAGCACCATGCGGGGGATGGGGTGGGATGGGGTGGGAATGTGGCCATGTTATGTTTGTGGGGCTTTGGCTGAGTTTGCAGATGAGGTTTGCAGGTAAGTGTCACAGCAGCAGCAGTGGATAGAAATCAACAACTTTGCCCTGGAGTAGCCCTGGGTTTAAATGGGCCACACTGACCAGCACTGGCACCTCCCAGAGAAGGGACTGTGCAAATGTGAGCTGTGAAAATAAGCACCATCCCTCACCCCTGCATGACTTCTGCAAAGTACAGCAGTCCCATGGGCTGCAAGGGCTGCAGGAACCATGGCAGCCTTAGAAGTCGCAGGTTTCCCAGCCCCTCGGAAGGAGCAGCCTGGCCTACCCCATTCCCAGGCTCTGTGCAGCTCTGGTGGGCACTGCTCAGGTGCAGGTGGGCCAGCTGTGTGCTGCAGATACAGGACTGGTCAGGGGGAAGCTGCCACTTCTCCTTTCACACACATCTGCTCCTGTGCAGTGGCAGAATGGGGATGCTGAGTAGGCAGTGGCTTCCTGCTGGGAAACCTCACTGCATCCCCAGCACCCACAGTGTCTGCCTTTTCAGAGCCGGCTCCTGTCTGGTGCTGCCCAAGCCCCCAGTAAGTTCTCAGGCTCCTCAATCCTCCCCCACCCCCCACCTCCCTTCTCAGGGGAACAAAGGGGAGTGGGAGCTGGGAAAGGTCTATTCCCTCCTTACCTGGGCAGAGAAGTCAATCAGCTTTGGGAGCGGCTGCTTAGCTTGCTCCCCGCTCTTCAAGAAATCCAGCAAACTCCCTGTGGACAGGGAAGGATGCCAGGGCTGATGGCTCAGCTGGGGCCTGCACCCACCTTCGGGTGGCACAGGATCCTGGAGAGCCAAACAGGACCAGGGGACTCAGGAAACACACTTGATCCCCCCACCCCACTCCCATGGATAGCACTGAGGGACGAGTGCCACTGAAGATTCCCTCCTGCCTTGCAATCCAGCAAACTCCCTGTGGACAGGGAAGGATGCCAGGGCTGATGGCTCAGCTGGGGCCTGCACCCACCTTCGGGTGGCACAGGATCCTGGAGAGCCAAACAGGACCAGGGGACTCAGGAAACACACTTGATCCCCCCACCCCACTCCCATGGATAGCACTGAGGGACGAGTGCCACTGAAGATTCCCTCCTGCCTTGCAGAGCACTCCTCCCCATCTGTCCCCTGTTGGGGGGCCTGTCCTCTCCCAGCACTGTCACCACAATCCCCCCACCCAGCCCCCTGCCCTGGAGTACTCAGACATGCAGTGCCTGCTCCCAGTCTCCTGGGAGCTGGTGCAGAGCCCACGGCCAAGCTGTTGGATGCAGGATGGGTTGATCCTGCACCATCCCAGGGCACCTGGGTGCTGCCACATGGCCTGGCCCACTGTCAGCACTCAGGGATGCAGGTGGCACCTTTCTCCATGAACTCAGTGATGATGTAGATGGGCTCCTCTCTGGTGACCACCGCGTGCAGCTTCACCAGCTTGTCATGCTGCAGTGTCTTCATCAGGTTTGCCTCCTCCAGGAAGGCTTCCACAGACATGCTGCCTGGCTTCATCGTCTTCACTGCCACCTTGGTGTGCTTGTTGTAGGTAGCTGCAGAGTGGCATGACAGACCATTCCCAGGCTGCACTGGGAGCACTGGGTTTTGGAGTCAAAGCTCCCAGTCCTGCAGATGAAGCTGCTGCACGAGGGTTGGAGACTGTGGACAGCACAGGGCTGTCTCCACACACCCTGCTCCGAGCAGCCCGTGCATTAAGGCAGGGCCACCCCCATGTCCCTCGACTTGTCTCCTACAGGTTGCTCCCTTCCTGCCTTTTCCACCCTCCCATTCCTTCAGCTCTTCTCCCATCCCCCACCCTTCCTCCTTCACCATCACCTTCATCTTCTTCCCAGCCACCTCCCCCTCACTCACCCATCCACACTTCTCCAAATTGCCCAGCTCCCAGCTTCCTCTCCAGCTTCAGTGACTGCCGAGGGATCTCCCAGGCATCCTTCTCCCAGGGTTTCTGTGGTTTGGGCATGCGGCACGGCTGGGTGAGCTTCTGGCACAGCCCATCGCTCTGCCCTGTGGGAAGTGGCCAGGGCCATC